CAAAGAAATCTGGGAAAGAGAGGTGATCAATACCAAAAACTATCTTATAACATTGAACGTTCGTGCCGTAGCAGCGTGAAAGGACTACCTGCTCGCAATTTTGAAAATGTACAGATACGTGCCTATATAAATTTTTCAGAGCAAAACTATTCCGCGCTAAGCTAGTATATTTACATGATACTGCGAAAAAAAATTGCGGAACCTAACTATCATGTAGGGAAACATTTGAATTCAAAATTTTGGAGCTTAGAAAGGACCTGGGTCAGGAACTGATATTCTTAAGCATAATTTTTCAGTGTCTTTACATGTTATACACTTATTTGAGATCTCGCGGTTGTTTTCATGTTAATAATACAACTGAATGAGGTGTTTGCTTTAACATAAGAGCGTCATTAAGTTTCTCCACCGTTGTCCACTGTGACATTTGTATACGTCCTCTGAAATAAATCATTGGAATAAAGAGTCAACATTAACTATTCATTATTTAAGAAAGAAAAAATGAATAGTGATAGAAAAAATGGCTGTAAATGAATTAAACCAAGGTAAAGAATGAACTTAGGAACACTGAAGAAAAAGAAGCAACAAATGTACACTCAAGCAGATTGCAAATGGACGAAAGGAAAAGCAAGCGGATGGAAGACTGTGTATGCGAATGAATGGATGGCTGTGTATGCGAATGAATGGATCGGCTGCAGTTGAAAATAAGAGGTTTACATGAAGAACTGGTCGGGCGACATAGGGATCCATGGACGGGCAAATGGAGACAAATATGAATGACTGGATGAAGGGAGATAGGACAAATGTAATTATAAGAGAGGTGAAAAGAAGGGAAGAGATACCTAAAACCGTTAGTTACCTTTACTTCTCGCATAAAATACTTCAGCTGCTGAGAAATCTGTGAAAATACTGGTCTCATCAAAGGATTTTCTTTCCAACAAGAGCTAATTAGCTCATATCTTAAAATTCAACACAGTATTAGTTAAAATTTGCCTGTGAGTTGATGTTTTCAGTTTCTGAACCGTCCATGGCAAGCGTAGAAAGGGGCACAATGCGATCACTGGCGAATCTAGGGGAGGGGCACGGGGGCCCGCCTTCCGCGCCCCCTCTTATTTTGGGCAAGATAATAAACGCAGAGGGAAGAGAAACCAGCAGGTGAACACACAAACAAAACGCCCTCGCCCCTCTTCCTTAGCTCAAGGCCTGGATCCGCCGCTGGCGATGACCTTGAAGTCATGATGGAGATCATTGGAGAGACTTGTAAGATGTAAGATTTGACTTGACATGAAAAGCCGTTTTAAATCACAACGAATTACTCGATGCATCACTTAGATTTTCTACGTGAAAAAGCTTGTGTCAAAGGATCTTCCAAGACTTGGCTCGAGGGGGAGAACGCTTTTCAATATCATTACCAAGATAAGGCAAGTGAAAGTTTCATTATTATTTGAAACCCTGTACAAAATTATCAGTCATTCAATTAATTTACTTTTGGCATTATACAAGACTTTGAAGCTTACAGTTCTTCCGAGCACTGGTCGGGACGAGGCATCCGGTACCCTGTAGCCAGTCGACTTACTAAGGCAATTGGCGATGAGATGTCAGAGTATGGCAACTCACCTGTTTGGGAAAAAAGGGATATGATTCAACAAATCCAACGTTACAGAAACGACTCCAAGAAATAAATATTTCAGCAAAACCAGGCAAAACCTTTTTGGAACACCAATGGAATGAATTGGCTTGTAAAAAATTGGACAATCAGCTGCCTTTTAAGTAGCCGAGTTGGCTTATCATAAAAGAAATAAAAACTGTCCAATCACCAATCCGTAATGTGTCAGCTCGTGAAAAACAAACTCATGAAGTACACAGGTTAATTCCATGAATTTGAAAGACAGTAAGTACTTCAGCTGTAGTAACTTTACAAAAAAAAATAAGCATTGTAACAAACAAGAGATAGACCGTATAAATGAAGAGGGGACTTTTGGCATTCACACGGCCTATGCTTAAACACCATATCATAAAGCGGCCCCTCGATCTTGTTCGATTTCGTCTGGCCAGATAGAGTTAACTCTGGTCAGCCCTACAATGGTAATTCAGTTTCTAAATGGAGATGCTTGTTGGTTCATTGGTTTATTTCTTTCACACTATTTACATAAAATTAACGTAGATAGAAAAGTAAAGTTGCAACAAATGAATACAGAATAAAATAAATCAAATACAGATTATAAAAATGTGTGTGTGGTGGCCAAAGTAGCAAAGGCTTTCTAGTTGGCCACCACCTACTTTTAGATAAATAAAGAAATAGTACTGAGCTGGGATTAATGTGCAAGAAAGAATTACCGGTATAAATTCAAGGTATGTTAGAGATATATTGTACCAGGCAAGAATCTACATGGGAAAATTTTAATAAGAGAAGAACAGACACGCATACAGACAAACAAACAACAACAAAAACAATAACAGACACACATACAGACAAACAAACAACAGCAACAACAATAACAGACACACATACAGACAAAAAAACAACAGCAACAACAATGGACAAAAGCAGAGACAGAGAAAAAGGAGACTGGAAAAGAACAACGCATCATCAGCAACAATAGCAGCAGCAGCAGCAGCAGAACAACAAAGACCTACATATAAGCGGACAATTATTATTATTAACCGTTATTACTATAGTTATTTACATATGGATTGTTACATACTATATATGTGATCACTAAACAGATATCAGATATTATTTGACTGATGAGAGATTGGTGGGCCATATAAAGTTTCTTAAACCTGTTAAATGTTTTTATTTTCTTTTTCAATGCCAAGGGGACAGTTTCCCATATAACAGAAGCAGAGTACTTAAAAGTAAATTTGCCTATGTGTGTTCTGACTTGTGGTCGGTGGAAATTAAGTTTGGCGGATTGTCTGGTGTTATTATAGGAGTGGACAGCTGTTATAGGTATTAAAAAATTACGGAAAGTTGCAGGAATAGTTGTTGGATTGTTATATAGTTTAAATGCAAGTAAGCAGATTTTGAATCTCACAACATTTTCAAATTTTCAAATTTCAAGAATTTCGTATTGAAAAATAGCCTCACTCTAACGGATGGGAGGCTACTAGCTCGTGACAAGAGCCTGACTCGTGCTTCTTAGGATGTTGCTTTAAGTTGCACATAGCATCACGAGACACTTACCATAAGTGGCGATTTCCCATAGAACGATACCAAATGACCACCTGCAATAATGCACTAGACCTGAATAACTTCAACAAATAAGCGAACTAGCTCTGAATTGGCGATTAAATATCGAGTCTCGTGGTATTAATTTAGTGTTTATAGATACTTGCATTGCTTAAAACTTCGCTGAGTTTTACGTGTTTTTTTGGACCTCGCCTCTCGTATCAATTTCGAACAACGAATATGAGCATTTAGATAGTAAATTTACGGGTAAGAATTACTTAAGTGATGTTACGTTTTCAAGGTGTGTCAATAAATCCAAATACGTAAAAGATACACCATGCATGTACATGTGGACCAACAAAAACGTATAATTAAGGTCAGATGCACTAGTGTTAATGCTCCTAGCTAACTAGCAGAGAGGTAGGCAGATGACTGTATCCGAAATCCTTTGCGCTAAGTAATTCTACTGGATCGAAGTCGAGAGACTGTTATCTGACGATATTAAATGTAAAAAAGTAGAAACTTACACATCACTCATGGATGTAAACTGCAGGTCTCGTAGGGATTCTAACGACGACCATCTCCACGGAACCTTGCCCTGGTGAAAAAATGGATTCGTGTCACCAAGTTCCTGTTTGTAGTACAGGAAATGTCACTTGAAACTACGAGGAGGCCGGATTCACGAAACGGAAAGACATCGATGTATTTATTTAGTATGGGCGATTTCTTTTTCAACGTTAAGAAAGGTAAGAGTTTCTAATATTGATTTCCAGTCAAATCCATGGGGATAATTACCGTGGCGTAATTATTGTTATCATTATTATTACTATTGTTATTGTTATCAGTACAGACACTTATCTATTAGCCCTAGTTAATCACTTAAATGAACTCGTCACATAACACACAGCTCATTAGTGTAAATTGTATCGTAAGACGAAATTGATTTCATTATTGTCTTTGATGCCAGTCTGTTTATTATTTTTTTAATGTTTGATTTTGATTGCAAAGCGTACTTACGCTGGAGGTTATGGTGTATATACCAGCATCGGATATGTCCCTGGCTAATCCAAAGTCTCCAACTTTAGCCACCAAGTTGGCATCAACTAAAATATTCCTGGCCGCTAAATCGCGATGAACGAACTGTGAAAGAAGACAAATTACTTATCTGTTCCTTAAAAGACGCTCACGGATATAGGGTGCATAGCTTATAGCAAGGTGCTAAAGATCTATGATATGTGCTTTAGTCACTTTACAGTCACTACTTATGCTATGGTGTAAATGTAGCATTTTAGGGGAAAGTTCATAAAATTTTGACACTTAAAAGAGAGTTAAGTGTATGATTGCAAAATGATTTGAGAAGGATGCAACCTAATGAGCTTTTCCCAAGATTTAAAACCTCAATGATTCCATGTATACTGCGAAGTCATTCTTTACTTGGAGTAAGAAATGACCAGAGATGTTAGACTCGCACAGTTTCCTGCCTGTATTTTATCAAAAACTCATTTTCGCTTTCGATGCTAAGTTTAAAATAAAAAAAAAAGATTCAATATCTCAAACTTCCCACGTACTTCTTAATCAAAGCAGCCATTTATAATATAATTTAGAAATTTAACTTCACGTTATACACACAGTCAACTGATCTTGTACCTTTCTCTCCTCTAAGTGCTGCATTCCCGCGGCAATCTGAAATGCAATTGTAACCAGCTGCCGGTCATTCAGCTTACAGCAGACGTTATGATAATCATTCCTTTCTCCAGAAGCCCTCTTGGCTTTCAAGAGATTTTCCAGGCTTCCTCCACGAATCAATTCAGTGACCACAAGAATGTTTCCTAGAGAGGGTAGAGCAAACACATTAGAGTTGACACGATAAAGTAATGGGACACTATTTCCTCTTGGAATTGATCAACAGGCGAATCGTCGTTAAATACGAGTCAAGTTGTTGGATAGAGGTGGGACTCCAAAAAAACAATAAGCAAACCTTACATGATCTTCCCTGAATTTCACTTAGAAAAGGGTGATTTGTGATCAATAAACACAAATGTTTGCTTGTAGGAACATTTATCACCTGCAGCAAACATGCCTAGCTCTACGACGTTGCATCGTCGAAAACTGACTTACCTCCCTCTATCCGTGTACCAATCAAAGTAACAATATTAGGATGTTTCCCAGCTTGCTTCAAGGTCCTTATCTCATTGAGCAGAGTTTTTTTGGCGATGGCACTAGGGTCTACAATGACAAAGAAGAAAAAGCAAAGGGACTTCTTAAATTACTTCATTTTACTTGTGCAGTTCGCTTATCGTATCTGGCTATGGTAACAAACAATGTATGGAAAAAGTGCTTTGGTTGATCAAGGCTGCAGAAAACGTTCAGAATAGACAGGAGCAGACTTTATGGGTGTTAAGCACCAAAAGAAAAATGATGTAAAAAATAGGGTGAGGCAAAGCTTTCAAAGAAAAATCAGTTTCAAATTATACCACTGCACTTACGAATTAATAAATTGACATTTTGATTATGTGTAGGTACCTTTTAGCTTCTTCACAGCCACATCTGTCTTGTTTCCGTCTTTCCCACAAAGGCCACCTTTGTAAACGATTCCAAATTCGCCCTCTCCAAGTATTTCATCGAGTACTTCAAGATTTTCGCATCCTTCTTCAGTCTCTTGAGATATCTCTCTATAATCCCGAGGTTCATGGACACCCATGTCAACACCTTTATCAGCTGTTAAATTTTCAGCACCACCAATCATCTCATCCGACTCTAATCTCTCTTGATCTCTTTCTTTAATATCTTGCATCGGATCATCCTGATCACTTCCGTCTGGAAGCCCTCTGTCCCCTACTTCATCCCCCACTAACGGGCGCCTTTCCTCGGGGTTTTTGATGGTTTGACTATTGGGCGACCAATTGTTTTCAAGGTCCTGTATCCTGTTTGGCAAGCGTTCGCCTTTTTCTAAATGCATCATTGTTGCACGTTTTCCTCCCTGTCATTTTGTTGAAGAGAAAAGTCTATTGTGATTTAAATACAAGAATTGTGTTTAGCTGTTACTATAGTCATTTGTTTTAATCCCCTCTTAATCCCTACTCACTTGTTGAGCTAAATTGAAATTTCTTATACCTCGATCCAATGGTATAACGCAATGTCAATGGCATTTCTTTGATATGGAAGGAAACAAGGCTGCATAAAATCGCTGCGACATCTTACATTATGATGACCCTCATGAGATTTCATAATGATGATGATATTAAGGTATATAGGCAAGGAAAATAGCCTCTGCAGGCTTCTACATGAAATATCTACCGACCAAAAGTGGAAGAAAGGAGAATTTGGGAGAGAGGTAACAAGGATAGAAATGGGCGTTTTCCTTAGCCTGGACTCACTATGAAGGCCGAAGTTTTCCTTAAAAGGCAGAACTGACGAAAATATCATTATATGCAACTTTTCTGGTGTTCATAGGAATGCTGGAATTGACCGGTTTGTAGAGGGGAAAATTTTTCGTGTGTCATCGATCCTTGTTCTTGCAAGGCGAGATGCAGAGTCTAGAAAAACCTAGCAAGTTGTATATGTTATTATAGCTATTATCATTACAATTATTATTATTTTCACTATCATTAATAAAACCATCATTATTATCATTATCATATTTTCGTTTTTACGTTTATTTAGGAATACAAAATTTAGTTTATTTTGAACTTGTTTCTTTTAAAATCATAATAATCATTATTGTTATCATTGTTGTCATCCTTACTCAACGAAGCATGTACCAACCAGCTTTTCTTAGATTTTTTATCAGACATTGTAATGCAGTTTTCGATTTTTAATGATTTTTCATATTTTTTGTAAATATTTTTTACAGTAGTGAATAAAGGATTATTATTATTATAATTATTATTATTATTATCATTATTATTATGAACTCTTTTCTCTTTCGTGACGGACAGAGGAGATCATTACCTTGTCTGAAGATGTCGCGTAATGGATTATTTACCTCTTTATCGCGATTTCCACAGCGATTCCATACAAACCCGACGACTACACAAGTAATCACAGCTATAAAAATGCATGAAAGAGCAATTATAATAGTCTGGAATATTGAATTTTCTGGCTCCCTTTTCTCGAGGTTTAAGGGGCTATGAGTTGCTGTGGATAAATTATGAAAAAAAAAGAAAAATTAATTTCTCTATCTTTCTGCAGACCTAAATCTCAAGCATTGGAAGAAAAACATTACTTACAATGGTAGTAACAATGTTAATAACAATGCTAGCAATAATAATAATCATGATTAAGATAATGGTAATGATGATAATAAAAGGCAATGGTGGTAATAAAAATCAGTCCCCCTGAATTATAACTTGAAAAAAGATAAGGATGGAAGAAAGTTATAGAAGACGACAAAATAAAAAAAGAGTAGGGAAGAAGTAAATAGGATAAAAAAAGCATTTGAAATCCAGGCCTTCGCGAATTTGATCCAAAAGTCAATTCCTGGCAGGAACCTTCGTTAAGATCTTTATTTATTCCCTCTTCTTCCAAAAATATTTCGAATTCACCTTTGTTTACTACAGCTTCTCCCGATTGGCCACACAGGGAAGATAAATTGCTTCGAGGCTTATGCATATACCGCCCCTTCATCGCCATATTCTCGTGCAAAGAGGGAATTAACTATGTCAGGCATACCCTCCCTTTCCGGAGTGTGTGTGGCATGTGTATGTGTATGTATCTTTTTCCCCTGCTCATCAGGATTATGTTCGTAGAGGCAGTGGTTTCAAGGGATTGGGGCGCTTGGCTTGAGCTCGGGTTGTGTTGGGTTCAAGTTATGAAGCTGAAAGACATTTCAAATTCCCCAACTACCCGGACACAGACGACGTTCATTTGCCCATGATTGTCCGGAGGGGGTGGAAGGAGTTTAATTTGAGGCTTCGAATTGATCGGCGAAAATGAGTCACTACAAATCAGAACTGTTCAACTGAGTCAAGCCACCATTCGATATTCATAGGTTAAAGCTAGATCGAACGTACTTTACTAATTCATGCAAATTTATGCGTTTAATTATACGGCCTGCATTTCAACATGAATTGTTCCCTTGATTTGATAACTTGCCTTCCTTCAAGTGTAAAAAAGCCACATTTGATGTCTTCTCTCCTACACTGTTATTTACAAAGCATTGATATGTCCCTGCATCTTCCTTCGTCGCGTCTGTTATCAGCAGCACGCTGTGGCATCTTGTGTCATCTAAATCAAGAATGGTTTTGAACCTTGGATTGGTTTTTGTAACATTTGGATCATTGTTCTTAATCCATGTAATGTTTGGCTTGGGAAGACCAGTGGCGGTGCAGTTGAAAACTAGGTCGGAACCAACAGAATAAGTTTGACTTCTTGGATGTTCGACTATCTCCGGCTTTCCTGAAATTAAAGGAGAAGAAAAAGGTAAAAATATTATCGGAAAGGTAAGAAAAAATCAATACTAAGTTGAGAGGATATTTCCGAAGGGTAATTAAGGTAAGAAGAGTTAATGTGACCCCGTTCTTTTAAATGTACTCATCATAATTCTTGTTTCCCTGAGAATATAGTAGCATTAACCAGTAATATTATATAGCTGGTAGCGCCCGTAGGCAAGATGAAGCGAATCCAGTGCTCTGATTTGCTATCTGAGCGGGCAAGGTGGGCCCATCCTGCCCGCCTGGGACTGCCCGCGTAAGAGAAAAATTGCGAGGAGCAGACTTTTAAAGCTCGTAACTTTAATTTTAAACAATGTCGGCAACGAAGTCGCAAAAAGCGACAAAGGACAGTCAAAACAAACCGAGCCTCTTAGGTCTGCTGTGCTAATAACACAGTTGGTTTTCTTTCCGAGCTCTCGAAATAAACAAGTCATTTTCTATTCTTATTAAAGCGAAATATTTTTGCTATATAATAAATCCTTTATTCACCAAGCTTGTTCGGATAAGATGGCTGGATATTAGCCTGGTTTTTTTTTTGCGTTTTTACGGACCTCGACTTCGTCCTGATCCATAAAAACGCAAAAAGGAACTCACGATCGGCCAACATCCAGCCATGTTGACATCACGTTTGGTCAGTAAAGCGTGAAGAATGAGCCAAATGAAATCGCTTTTCTAAAAATCATGCCCTTCTCCTTGGGACTTTTATATATAGTTTTCTTTGTCCTGTATTAATATTCATGAATGAAGTTAGCCTCAAAGCACAAACTGAAGTTAGCATCAACTTTCATTTATAATATAAATCTAACCTAAATTCCTTGGGATTAGGAAAACAACTCCTGATTCTTTTCTACCGACACCGTTACTTGCAATGCACTGATATTTTCCATAATCTTCCTTCTTTACTCTTGTTAATAAGAGCAGGCTGCGAATTTTTTTGTCGTCCTGAATGACACTTGTTCTGGGATGCGACTGTAAAGAATATGAAGCATTGTCCTTTATCCAATGAATAGTTGGCCTGGGAAGACCCTTAACAGTGCAGCTAAATGTAGCATTGGAACCAAACGAGGCACTTTGGTTCTTTGGACCTTCAACAATCTCGGGTATTTGGGCATCTGCAAATTAATACCGATGCAATTATTTCCTTGCATTTGGCGCTGGCAATTGTCTTTTTGCGACCGTTCTTTAGGATGTCGGGAGCCTAAACCGCCTCCCAATTAGCTCAATGGATAGAGCGCTGGACTGTTGTGCGGGAGGTCGAGGGTTCGAGCCCCGGCCGGACCAACACTCAGGGTCTTAAAATAATTGAGAAGAATTTGCTGCCTTTCTATAACATCAAGAAATCGTTAGATATTCTAGTCTTCTCGGATAGGGGCTGATAGTTTCGAAAGAAACTGTTTGGGGCTGCGTCGGTGGGAGTAACGAAATAATTTGGAAATATCAACAAAGTTGAAATAATAAATTGGCCACCATAATGATTACAAAAGCTGACGTTTCGAGCGTTAGCCCTTCGTCGGAGCGAATAGAGGAATTGTGGGTTGTGTGGCCCCTATAGCAGCACTTTGGTTCTGAGGAACTCCCACTAATTCTGGCCCATTGCCTGAAGAAAAAAGGTAGATTGCAATAAGCATCCCCTGTTATCATCAAGATAATCTAGTTTGAAGCTAATTCAATTGTAATAAGAGAATGACTGTGTAAGAAGAATATATTCAATCATCACACCTTTCTGCCACACAAGAAAGATGAATTGCATAGGTGGGTGCTCAGAGGAAACTATTTCTGGGTCATCCTCCCTTGCGAGAGTGTGTGTCCGTGTTTTTTTGAAACGTTACCATTAGCTTATTTTGTATGAAAGTGATAGTGTATTTTGTATTACGAAATAATTATTTTCGCTCCTTCCGAAGAATATGTACCTTTTTTTTTGCTACAGAGTCCCATCGCTTTGTAAGAATCAGTGCATCATAACAGTTAATAAGATAGTGCACATTGCAGGTCAATTAAATTTACTCTTCATTCAAATTTAATTGCTATCTGCGTGAAAAATTTGTTTCTCTGGGTAGTGCATTTCGATCCCTTTTAACCAATTGCCACATAAAGGAACTTTGCGAAATTTTTTTTTTTTTAGCAGTGAATCATATATTGGACTTGTCTGTTAAAACCAAGTATCCAGAAATCGAGAGATTAATTTAGAACATTGAATTACCACATCATCCTTTTATAAGCTGTGCAAGAGGCTTCTTATTTCGGAACATTCTTTTTTTTTTTATTTTAAAGATATCCCATCATAAGTGTCTAGAATATTCAGTTACTGCTAGAAAAATTGTTTTTTAGAAAAAGGTATGACTCATTCGGCTACTATATATAAGGCTCGAGATCGTAAGATTTAGTTGAGGTTTTCAGAAGTTTAAGATACCACTGTCAAGTTATTTCGCAGACCAATAAAGTGTTTTAAGTGGAAAACAAAAGGCTTCTCTTAGCTTCGTGACACCTATCCATACACTTCAGGAGTTTCTTAGATGCTGATTATTGAAGGCACCTTATTCCTGAGTTAAACATCATTACCAAAGAAAATAGTAATAATATGCTATCGCAGCGAAACCCAACACACGGCACCCACCTTTGCAATAAAGAATATAGAATGTCTGTTGTTATATAAAGGTATAATAAGCCTGGTTTGCTTACCTTGGATCTCTATTTCAAATGGTTTCCTTGTGCAGTGTTTTGGGTGACCATTGCCCGCTTGGCAAGTGTAGCGCCCAAATTTGTTAACTGTCAAATTTTTGAGCACTAATGGGCAGCTTAATTTAAGTTTATGAGCATGTATGTTTGAGGGCTGTCGGCATTTTGCTCCAACTTGTCTACCCTGTGGATCGTACCACTCGACATAATCGACCCATCTATCCACATAAACTGAGTCTATCCTTCTGGGCTCCGCTGTACAAGTCAGGGTTAAAGAGGCACCAATGGGTAAACTGTTTTTCTCTGAACGTGAAGAGATGTCGACAACGGGTCGAACTGTTCAAGAGAGAAAACTCGTGGATTAAAAAAATAAATGAATAAGTGAACAGCTGGATTTAGATTTAAGCAGTTAGGTGTAAAAAGATAGAGATACTCTTCATGCCAGGATGTTTCACCACTTACTTTTTAGGTTGGAATTACATGTTTCGCCTCTGACAAAGGGAAGACTCCACAAAACGCCAGTAAGAGTCAATAGTAATATGCACTTTGCCACTTCTCTTAACCAAGAGTCACGCATCATCATGGAATGTAAACGAATTATGTTTTGGTGTTTCGTAAAGCCTGTTAATGGGATTGCCTATTGGAAAAAACGGAATGAAAATCAGCAAAGAAAAGGTTTCACCTGACCGGAAAGGATCTGACACCCTAAGAAAATGTTTTCTCTAAATCTATCTCAAGGCTTACCAAAAGGAATTTGTACAGAACTATGGATGATTAGGACTTTCAATGATTTTAATAATCTGTTACAAAGAGATATGTCAGTTGTTTGCAAAACAGGCGAATGCTCAGTATGATTTACATGAAAATTGTAGCCGTCATCTTTGATTTTTACAGCAGCGGAAGGCTGGGTAGAGAAAGAATTTTGTACCAAGTGGTAAGCGACAGTAAAAAACAAGGACAAACAAAGGAGAGGGTGGGCAATTACCTTCCCCCCATCCCCTCTCTAAACCGTTAACTATACTAGATGGCTGATCGATCACATACATGTCCAATACACCCAAACCGTTGCGATTCGTCTACGGTCGTTCACGAATCGTCACACCGGATGTTAAATCGTGCGTTAACATACCGGGAGTCAATGCAAGAAGCGTAAGCAATATGTGAAATTTCCATGGTATGCCGGAAGTCGAATCGTGGGTTAACACACCTGAAGTGGCACGCGAGAAATTAGTGAAAAGAAGTGGCATGGTACGAATACATGACAACATCAACCTTCCAAATTCTTAAAGCGTGAAACTACGGGAGGTCTATCGTCAGAATATCATAAACTTTGTATACCGTGCATGTAGCAAATGTTGACGATTCAACACAAGTGCCAGAATTTTCTGAACCATATAGTGTAGAAAATGTTGACGCTTCGACACAATTCTCCCCGCTCGCTTTGGGGGGCGGGAAGATGAGAGATCCTTGGAGCGAGGTTGGATGGCAAACTTCAGAGTGGTCATTTGTTTGTCATTATTGTTATATAAGCCAGAAGTTGACCTCTTCGGTTTTTTACCCATCATATACATGCTTCCGTTTGGGGACCGTATCACCGAAAAGACAATGGGAGTTGAAAGAATCATTTTTGTATATGTTTCAAATAGTTCATCGACAATAAGAAGTGCCAATTAGTTTTTTAGAAATAGAACACCTTACTTCGCTTTCCATTGTAATAAATTTTTCTTTTTCGTTATGTGAATAAGGACCACAAAAAATTACACGTCGAATTTAGTGGGTGAACATGACAGACTACAATAGAGTATTACTTATATAGTTATGAATAAATATTAGCGAAAATTCAGAATTGTCTGAATATAATGTTCAAGACAAAAAAATGGCAATAACACTTTCCACTGAAAATTATACAAGCCATGATATAGCCAGTTGAGAACCATAACCTGATAATACAACGTCTTGTAGCAAAATATTTTGTTCGATAATAAATTGTATCGCTCTACACTCCTTTTGAAAAATAACTTTATTTCAAATAGGTTTACGTGTCCGTTTTTTACGACGGCATGATCGAAAAACACATCGTCACTATTTTTAATTTTCTTATTTATTTATTCAAACGATAACTTTTTTGGCAGCGAAAATGCAAATGAAATAGCCAATGCGTGGAATTGGGATACACTTACCTTAGGGTTTAGCTGTGAGACCCATCAACATACTACTCATTGGAAGGTAGTGGAATTAGTCATAGGTTGTCATACAAAACGAAGTCCGATGGAAATGTATGCGCACTCTACTGAGTCAAAAATAAACCGTCATACGAAACGACATTTTTTATTAATAGAAAACACGTCAACAGATGTTGTCTGAGGAAATGACGGTTGGGGCGAAAAGTTCCTGTTGAGTCAACAGTTTAACAAGATCAAAGATTATGTTCGCAATGCCTGTTTCTCATCAAATTGTAAGATGCTACTATCAACCAATTTGTAAATTTGTGTCCCGCGGACTAGGGAAAAGAGACTGGACGATATACGTATACGCTGAAGCGGCGATTCGTGGGGGGAAAGTTCTTTTCTCGTAGGATAATCGTAAACAACTGGGCTCAGTTATGTTTCTCCCAATATTTTATTTATCATTTAAACTCATTCTTCCGTTTAGGGCAGTATTCTGTTTCACCGTCGAACGGGAGTTTATCCAGAGTTCAAACAACAAATAAACGTTTAGAACTTCATTTTTCCCTTTCCTTTAGCTTTCGTTCCTTTAGCTTTCGTAAAGATTTTCTAAAACATTTTACAATAAAAATCTGCGATAAAATTTTGGAAAACATTGCACGACGTTTCGACGTTTCCAGAGCGTCATTAGCAAGTGAGACTGAAGTAACAAAACTAAGATATATATAGATGAGAAAATGAATAAATTAAGAGTCATTGAGAGTCAAACAAATAGCTTAGCCTTAATGGAGGCGGTCTGGGTGTTTAAATCAGGTCTTATTGTTCTTATGTACAACATTTCATTGACCAGGCAATCCCATTTCGTGCAGCATTTTTTAAGCCCCCGAAATTGGCTCTCATTGAGTAAGTTAACGTTCCCATGAGCATCTTTCAGATGACGACCAATGGCAGAATATCGATGATCACCAATGCGCTGAAATAGATGGCGTGTCGTATATCCGACATAATTTCAATCGCACAAATCACATTTATAACAATAGACAACGCTGTGTTGATTGACGATAGGTGGCTTGATTTCTTTAAGCTTAAGATCATGCTCAAGTTTCTCGCTGGTGAATACTGGTCGTACATCAATGCCAATTTTAGAACTGAGATCCCGCATCTGCTTTTTAACTGAGTTCCCTGAGGTTTGATCTTTAAACGGGATGGTGGCTCTTAAAGTTTCATCAGTAACAGGTTTCGTCTTAGTCTCTTCTGTTGAGGGGTAATAACATTTATCAATTATGCCACTCACTAACGAACTTGGGTATCCAAGGTGAGTAAACATAGATTGTAGATGTTTACATTCATCGACGAATGCGGCCTGATGCGTAGAGGACAATTCCCTTGCACGATGAAACATTCTTTGAACAAGACAATTCTTATAGCGCAAATCGGTATGGCTTTGAAAATGGAGTAGTAGGCCCGTGTTTGTAGGTTTACGATAGGCATTGGTCTTAACTTGTTGCAGTTCTTTGTTATCGACATTCAATAAAAGTAATTGAGTCGTTGTTGCAAACTGAGCTCCATTGTAAAATCAATACTGGGGTGGATTACATTGAGTACATCAAGGAAACCTTCTGCTACATCGGGTTCAGGCATTATCACAAGCGTATCATGCATCAACGTAACGCCTGTAGAATGGAGGCATCCTTATCAGATAGTCTTTCTTCCAGATGGCACATAAACATTGTATTGTATTGTACACATGTTCTAATAAAGGTCCCATTGCAACTCCTTCACACTGTTCGTAAAGTTGACCATCAAACTTGGAGAGTTGATCAGTGGATGTCATTCTAAGAAGTTAAGCGACCTGATCCTTCTGTATGTTAAGGTCTTACGATAAGTTGAACCAATTATTGGTAAACACTTTATCGACGCGGATGTTGATTGTTTCTTGAAAAGGAACCTTTGTAAACAGTGACGGGTGAAACTTGAAATTTGAAAGGAGCGATGTGTACGTTACATGCAAACGTCTACCCCCAAACTTGGTACGTGATAGTCTTCGATTAGAACTTAACAACAAAATCGCAAGAAAGTATCCCTGCTTTGAAAACTTTGATCATAACTCTAAAGTATTATTCCTTTTTAATAACGCTGATCCGTCTATATGTAGACTCATTTCTGCTTTTACATTCCAAATAATGAATATCAGACAGTAAGTTCTTTTAAAGACGAAATGATGTTAAAAAATTATCGTTACTTTTTCTTACTTAGGTAACGCCATGTACTACTTATGGAAGTACCTAATAAAGTTGTTGTTGTTGTTTAATATCGTTGTTTAATATTTCAACTTCATACACACTAAATTTGGAGGAAATCTGAAGTAACGCCTTACCATACGAGTCACGGGAAGTTATCTTTGTAAGAGGTTATATTTGTAGGGGCTGACCTTACAGGGTTAGAGAGATTACTTTCACATCCTGGGATGATGCCACAAGCGAATAACCCAACAGCAGCTGCAAAAAATAATACGCGACGTTTACTAAATCCCATAAAATTCATTGAATTGATCGGTGCTTTTTATTTCGATCAAGTGGGCGTAATTTATTTACCGTATATTCACACCGGCATATTATAAGCCACCGAGATTCAAAGTTCTCTCATGAAATCAGGGAGTTGTGTTTAAGTCAGTACGAGAAACATTGATAACCTCAGGTTGCCACAAACCTCTGAAGACTTAAAAAGGATACGAGTAGTATGTGTTCTCCTTCGTCGAACGCAATATATTTATCATAAATTTTATTATTTCTATTTTTTGAATATTTCGCGGTGTTCCGGCTTGTTAGAGTGTTCCGGAAAATTCAAGGATCCGCTAGCATGTTTTCTCATGTTCTGGCATTTTCCTATATGTTCCGGTGTTTCGGTTTCTGATGTTCCAGTGTTGTGTTATTCCGGTGTTTCTGCGTATTCCGGCGTGTTCCAGCGTTACTAATTTTATAGTTCTCAGTGGTCTGTACATACTATTTTATAAGCAATATATATGAGCAGTTTTTCGGGTTTTATGACGATTTTTAGATTTTTCAACCTAATGAAGGCTTCACCGAAACTTTCTTCTTCCATGATATCTAATTGATTTTCACTTATAAGCAAATATCGGCAAGTACTTTGTGAAGAAAGGCTCGTTGTCAAAGCCCTCGAAAACAAAACTCAGCGGACTACAAGGTATATGTTGCGCGGAGTCTCAATAAAGCGCCCTGTTAAACGGCGCGTAATTAAACCAAAAACACCGTACACCACCTTATCGTTTGTTTCTGTTTGTTTGCGTCTCTTCTTTATTTTTTTAATTCATCTCATTGTTCTGGCGTATTCCGGTGTTCACGTGCTCCTTCGTTCTCATGCTTACTAGGGCAGGCGGTCATGTGATGTCGGGCTATGGCAGTCCGCCTGGTTGGAAGAAAGAAAATGTGATTTAACAATTATAGTTAAAAAAAAAAAAAACAAACAAACAAACAAGCAAACAAACACTCTTAGGCAATTATTATTTCACCAGTAAATATGTGAAAAATGTAGAAGCCTGAAAAGACTTAATGTGGCTCAGTTGATGATTAGAAACTAAGCGTTGTGACAAATGATATTCGGAAAGGAAAGAGAAGATGTAGCAAGGCCTCATTCTATATCTGGGCACCAAGCAACCCGCTAATCTTATGCAATTTTGACTGATTAGAAATTTCCAGTTTTCGAAGACACCTTTATCCATAAGGACCTTGATATTAAAAGCAATCATAAGATTAGGAGCCTTGCTGACACTGATAGGAACCTCATGACGAATAAATGACTTGTGCCTCTTCAAATAGCATAGTTATTTTATCACACAACACTTACCATAAGTAGCGATTTCCCACAAGACTATACCAAATGACCACCTGAAGATATGCGTCAAGGCCTTAATAACCTCATTAAATATTGAAAGCTCATAGATGGGCGTTTAGTCTAAATTTCCAGAGAATTCGCCGAGGTATCCCTGTTATGTGGGTCGCGTGCAGTTGAGCATTATTTTCTCGGTCTTCTGACTTCGATATGTAGATTATCGTTGTCGTTGTTTTTTTTTTTTCCGTTTTCTCTTGGCAGTTGAACTGAGTTTAATTTACCAAAATATTGCAGTGATTGTCTTTCTTTGCGAAACTTGCGAATTTTACAACTTCAAACAACTTAAGATGAATCTTGGAAACTGAAGTTACGTTTGAATCCATTGGAAAATTAAAGCGGCCAGTCTTATGAAAAGGTCAGGCGCTGGATGCAGCCTGGGCAAGATACAACAGTGGAGTGATTTTCTAGTCGTCACTTTGTCAGTCCGACAGTGAAGCAGTAGATATGGCACAAGATCCAGAAGTGCCCATTCTAAGCAAAGGGAAAGGAAAAACTAAATTGAACGAAATTAAAATGAAATATAGTATCGGTGTTATTTTGGTCGTCAACCCAGTTTGACAGATTTAAAAGCTTCGGCCTTTTTAGTGCGAATGCAATAAAGGAGACAAAAAATCTCAAATATTACAAAGACGAGGGTCGCTCTCATACATTTTATGAGACTGCAAGTACACATATATGATTCTTATATATTCAAGTTACGTTAGAGTTTGTTCTTTTGCATTTTCTCAGACTTCGATATTGATTGCAAAGCGTACTTACGCTAGTGGTTATGGTGAATATACCAGCTTCGGATATGTCCCTGGCTAATCCAAAGTCTCCAGCCTTAGCCACCAAATTGGCATCGACTAAAATATTTCTCGCCGCTAGATCACGATGCACGAACTGTGAGAGAGCCACATATAAAAATTCTTAGTTAGAAGACGCACACGGATACCAAAGTGCAGAATATTGTCAATGTTTTGTAAATTCACTCTACAGCATTCAACTCTGCCTTAAGACTCCCATTCCAGGTGTACTGCGCTGTCATTCTCTACTTGCTGATAAAAAATGGACACGGACATTGCACTTTTAGAGTTTCCTTCCTGAATTTTCTCAGAAAGTGGTTTTCGCTCAAAATTGTCATGTAGAAATCGATCTTACCTCTAAATGTTGCATTCCTGCGGCGATCTGAAATGCAATTGTAACCAGCTGCCGGTCATTCATGGTACAGCAGACGTTATGATATA